CTATGTAGATTCATGTAAAAAAATGATTTATTTGAGACAGAAGATTAACAATGTTTAAATTAATATATAAAATTTTATTTATTTTAAGACGAGGGAATCGGCAGACAACATTGAAAAGTGATTTATTTTAGAACGTAACAGTTGATTTATTTTAGGCAACCTATTAGCTGCAGCGCTGGGATGTACAAGCAGTGGGAGTAGTGGACTATTGCGTGTATCAAAACTAATTAACTTTCCAAGAGATGCATGATGTGGTGAGAGACTGATCGATCGATCGAGAGGCACTTTAATTTGTGTGTGGGGGTTGGGCATATGCGTGTGGCTAACAGTGCGAGTGATTAGCTCACGCATGCACCACCACCACTACAGTCACTATAGCTTCATCACTGCCACCGCGATCGATATGTACGTACGTACGTATACTGTGTGAATCGGGATTATCTGAATTGCAAGTTGTAATGTAGAGAATCTATAGTACTGCATCCTGTATGACACCGTTGATTTTTTTGACAAACGTTTGACCTTTCATCTTATTCTTATAATTTATTTTATTGTGACTTAATTTATCATCAAATATTCTTTAAGCATGACATAAGTATTTTTATATTTGCATAAAAAATTTAAATAAGACGAATGGTCGAACGTTAGTTAAAAAGTCAACAGCGTCATACATTAAAATACAATACAGAGGAAGTACCTGGTATTAGAGGAAATGGAGACCGTTCGATCAAAAACCAAGAATCAGATAGTGTGCTACAGTAAATCTGTTGTGGTACTCAACTGTTACTGTTGCTACAATAGATCGACATTGTTCACTGCATTGATTTATCTTGCTTCTCACATTGTTCACTGTATTATTGCAGAGGATCCGGGCCCACACTATGTCGATATATATATGTGTATGTGTGTGTGTGACAATTAGCAGCAGCAAAAATCAAAGGTGGCGCCTCTCTCTCTCTCTCTCTTGCCAAATACCCGAATCCTCGCATAAATCTGTTCGAATTGACGACACGACTTGCAAGTTGCCCATTTCTACGGATGCTCTGTACTTGTATCACGGATTCTCACTGTGTGGACTAAGCATGGACTATGTATGTTTAATTTTATCTGCATGTCTAAGCTAGCGCTTTTTATGAAAAGTTCTATCATATATATCTACTTAATTATATAGAAAATATTTTTCTTTCTGTAATGAAATAAGATATCTGATCTTTAACAGAAGCTATATATAGTGTCTCGTATTACAAGTAAGGGTCTTGGGCACTAACGAAAAGTTAAGTTTGGAACACACACTAAAATAAAAGAAAAGAGATGCATCTTATTCGATCAGTAATCAATCTAGCAATCTAATTAAATATAATCTGTCGTTTAAGTGATGCATGATGCATGTATATAACAGAAGAAAGTTCTTTTTAAATAAAAATCGTATCTTTAAAAGTGTGTTGCAGAATAATTAATCCGGTTGCAACTTACCACTTCCTCCGTTTCAGGTTATAAGATGTTTTAAATTTTGTTAAAGTCAAACTACTCTAAGTTTAACTAATTTTATAGAAAAAAATAGTAATATTTACAATAGCAGCACTACTTTCTTTTATAAAATTAGTTAAATTTATAATAGTTTAACTTTTACTAAAGTTAAAATGTTTTATAATCTGAAGCGGAAGGGAGTACTAATTAATTCTAGATTGGATACATATATATCGTCGCCGTCTCTTCGATCGATCATCTCAATCTGAACATGATATATGTACTGTGTCGATCTAGCTTTATCGTCTTTTCTTTCCATGCTGACTTTTTGCAAGTGGTTTGACTCTCAAGTGAGAGATTAATTTAACCATCTCGATCTCGATCATGCCTGATCTGTATTAAAGGTAGATCTGTGTTTGGTAGTAACGGTTCTAGCTAGTACTACTCCAGCTAGCTATACAGCTAATTGCCACACGTGTTTAGCAGTATGAACGGCTTGGATAAATTCCGTGGCCGAAAGAAATTAGGTCATGTCCAATTAATGATGTGATATACCACCTCCGTATCGTAATATAAGGGATATTCACTATTTCTTGTGACGTTTAATCACTTGTCTTATTCAAAAAATTTGTACAAATATAAAAAATAAAAAGTTGTACTTAAAGTACTTTGGATAATAAGTCACAAATAAAATAAATAATAATTCTATTTTTTAATAAGGCAAATGGTCAAACAATACCAGTAAAATGTCAAAATCCCTTAGGGGGTAAAGGGAGTTTTTTTTTCTTTTGAAGACTGATATATATGATGTGATATACCGACCGACACTTCACACACGGCAGGGGTGCGTCTCCTTGAATTTTCATGGAGCTAGCCCGGATATATCGACGAAACAGCCGTCAGAAAACTTTCTTTGCAGCTGCGAGACGATATCTTTCAGACAAGATCGAAGAGACGATATCTTTCAGAGATTTCTTCAAAAGAAAAAAAAAACTCACTCTGAAGTTGTACAGTCCGTACCAAAATATAATATTCTTCTGTTTTGTATTTGTAAGGGAATGTCTAGATACATATATAGTCAGAAGTTGCTATTTCTACCACTTAAACTTTGTTTTGAAATGAAGCTATTTCTCTAGTTATCGTCTCATCTCAATCAATTATAATTATTCTTTATTTAATTTCTTTAGCTAATTTATCTTCTCAACTAATCGTGATTTCCTACGATCATTTTTATGTAGTTTCTTATTAATACTCATGCGTTCAGCTCTAAAAATACTTACGGTTTACGATGAAGAGAACTAAAATTATGTATGCCAAATTGTTGCGAGGTGAGTATAGCTCAACTGATTAGGTTTGGTGAAATCTCAGCCCACATGGATTCAAGTTTTAGACTTGACACGAGTGATCGTATTTATGTCTAATTATTTTTTTAATGATATAAACGATGTATCTTTGGGCGACGAGGCGTTCGTGTTTCTTAAAGAAAATGTATGCCAAATTGCCAAACAGCTAGATCTTGGTCGTAAATTACTTATAAGGTTTTCCCTTTTTCTGTACTTGCCCGTCAATCAATCCAGCATAAAGCTAAGGGTGATCATGTGCAGGTCAATGCTTATGTCTGTGTCATCAGATCACCATGCTTTATCTCTCATGGAGATCTCAACATGCCTAATGTATCACACACAAACATACAGATCCACTGCCACCAATACATCATACATGCATGTCAGATCGATCGAGATGGTTCGACGTTGAAAACGTGTGATCATCCACTGGATAATTAACCATTAATTATTTTCTGACTAATTCCATTATTTCTGATCGATCTCCATGGCCAAACTAATTAAAGCTCGTTGGCTTTTCGATCGATGAAATTCCAGCCAAGATTAGATAGATTGATAGATAATCACGGCGCAATTAAACAGTTGGATCGTAGTGGATGCCAGTGAAACGCAACGACGCATGTATGTGCATGGTCGTATATACGTGGCCGTAATCCCGCCCATTTCTAGTGCGCGTGATCGACCCTTGTGTGTGTTAGTGGAGTGCACGCCCACGACCCCACCTTTTCGCGCCAAAAAGACCAATGATTCTACACCTAAGCCTAACCTAGCTAGTAGTCTACTACCAGCTATAGTACTCTCTCTAACTAAAAATATCCTAGCTAATACTCCCTCCGCCAAAAATAAAAAACCAACCTCATACTATGATATAACATATATAGTATAACGAATATTCAGATTCGTTGTCACATCCTATATCCCTAAATACGGAATTGGTTTTTTTTAGAATGGATGAAGTATATGATAGAACTATGATTCTCGATATGTCCCATATTCGTACTAGATAGACAATAGCGGAAAACTCTTTATTCATTAAGGAGATTTCGCTCTCATTTTTAAGGTAAATCCAATTGTCATAAATAATTTTTTATTTTAAACATAACATGGTAGATCAATATAAATGAGAAATATCAACTTTTTTTTGTCCAAGTTGAATTTACATGTGTCGACGTTTGATGTCACGACTACGGTATTTGCATAGTATGGGGATCGTTGGTATTAGGATATATGCAAGATTGAGGTAAATGAGATGGGAACGAGGATTTTTATACAGGTTCGGGCCCCTGAATTGTCAGGTAATAACCCTACTCCTGTTGGCCGAAGCCGGTCGTTGCTTTTATTCACCATAATCACACCAGTACAATATTTGGGGTAGCCTATCTAACTGTTGTCGACTTGGCGGTATGAAGTGCTGACTCGTAGTCGACGCCAGGGTAGCCTTCCTCCTCGAATCCGCATCCAGCGAGATCAAAGACAGCGCTATGTCTCTCCTGACAGTATCCGTAGACATCGTAGGGGACTAGCCATGCTTATCTCTGAAGTCGATATCCGGCGTCTTGTCTTGGTGCATGTTAGCTTATATGTTGATCTTGTGTCTTGATCTATTGTTTCGTCCCCCCTCTCCTCCTAGGGGGTCTTGTATTTATACCCATACGTGTTCCCTTTTCCAAGTAGAACTAGGGAAACCAATATGGATACAATCCGAGTAATCCTTGTCGTTTCTATGTAGAACTCTATTTATCTTTCCTTATCCGGAACTCCTTCTATACCCGAAGGTTGTTTCCGTATAAAACATGGTATGTGGTGAGTCCTGTCGAGATTTAGCCAACTACTATTAGGTATGTGGTATCCATAGCCCTGATAACATGTTTGTACAATAAATATATTACATATTGATTTATTCTATCTTCTTTTTTTAGAAAAAATTCTGGATAACGCGGCATACATAGAACATGGAGATATCCTCTCTCTCAAGGAATGAAAATCCACATCCCTACGTAGAGATTGAAAATCCGCATCCCTACATATTGCTTGCTGGTAATAAACCCTAAACAATTACTCTAAGTACACATTGGTAGTGTCAGTGGGATCTAGTGATTGTGTGCTCGTTTGACCTCCATTTGATGTGACCCTTCTTCTACCTCGCGACCTCTCATCTATCGATCTTTGCATACATATATATCTACCTCACCCATGGCTGCTTCCTGGCCACAGCAACCCACACATTCCTTGTACTTCTTCCGCTATATAAAGGGGCGAGCAACCAATCTGAATTAATCTGTGTAGCTCGTCGTCACTGCCCATAGTACTCTGGCTTAGCTAGCTAGCTTCTTCTTCTTCCTCTAGCTTGGATTGGATTGGATTGGTGGCTGGCCGGCGATGAGGACGGCGGCGGCGAAGGCGCGGTGCTCGGTGCCTTTCATCCTGGCGGCGCTGGCCGCCCTCTCCTGCGTCTTCCTCGTCCACGGTTTGTACGGCTTGATCGAGCTCTTCGGCTCGCCGGAACTCTCGCCGGAGGCCATGCTCCTCATCTTTGCCCTGTGTTTTCTCCTCCTTGCAGCGGCGGCGGCGGCGGCGGCGGCGGCGGTGACCACAACCACCACCAGCGTCGTCGGCTACCGGAGGGCGCTGCTTCCCAGGGAGGCGGCGGCGGTGGTGATGCCGACGACGTCGACGGCGGAGGACGCGGCGGTGGTGGGGATGGCCGGAGTAGAGGGAGAGCTGCCGGTCGTCGCCGACGAGGCGGCGGCGGCGGCGGCGAGGCGGATGGACATGCAGACGACGCAGGACTACCCGAGCTCCGGCGCCAACAGCCGCCACGATCCGAGGAACCCGCATTGAGATTCGTGCAGGGAAGCTATCTATCTACCGTTGATTCATGGGGTGGAGATGCATACGCCTACTTGTACAATACTACACATGCAGCAAACGCGTGTGTTGAGTTTATCACACAATTAATTAATTTTGCACACAGTATTAGTAGTACCGCATGTATAACTAGTAGTATTACATGTAACACTCGTATACATATCAAATTAAACATTATCTTAATGTGATCCTGCTCAAAAATTGTCAAGGGCATGCAAAGGGATGCTATTTAACTTTTTTTTCAACAAAAAAATACACCCTCCATTTCATCTCAAAGTAAGTCTACTTTTATATATGAATCTCAATATGACTGCGTTCCTCAGCAGGTGAAAGATTGAAGATTTATCTCGTTTTTCATGCGCACGCTTCCCGAACTATTAAACGGTGTTTTTCTTAAAAAAATATAGGAAAATTGCTTTAAAAAATCATATAAATATTTTTTTAAAATTTAAAATTGTTAATACTAATTTAATCATGCACTAATGACTCACCTTATTTTGTATACCTCTCCATTCTTCTCTTTTCCCTTTTCCTCAAACACAAAGATGTCCGGATCCATTGGTTGGTTGTTTTTAAGCATAAGCGAAACAACATATTTGCAAATGAAAACAAAATCTTAAAATCAACTTTGAATTTAAGTTTAAAATTTTAAATTTTGGCTGATAAGAATAAGCGAAAAGATAGGCCAGTCAAAACCAGGGGTACTTAGGGGTTGTTTGGATGCTATACTAAGTTTGCCACCATTCACCATATTTTTTATGCCACACTTGCCTAAATTGTGGCTTACAAAAAGTGAGCCACAACTTAGCTAGCAAAATTGGATTGTGCCACGCTTTGGTGAGTTGATGACATGTGGGACCCAAACAGATGAGAAGGAATCTTGCCACAAGTGTGGCTATGAACTAAACAATAGACTAACTTGGTCAAACTTGACTAACATGAGGTGTGGCAAGTTGGCAATCTTTGGTAAACTTTGGGAGCAAACCAAACATCCTTTTACACAGTGACCTTGTTCCTAACTGCACCGATGGGCTGATGATGCATATTGAAGGCCCAGCCAACTACTGGGCTCATCATGGATTTGGGGAAGGCCCACCTAAATGGCATATGCCCTACGTGGGTTTACGGGTGGAGAAAGTTCAAATTTGGTTCCTCATTATAGGTTGAGTTTAAATCATATCTCTCAACCGCAAAACTGGATACAATTAGCATGTTCGGTAAGACTTTGCTGTAGCGTTTTAAGTTGTGTTGTACAACGTAGCCGTTCGGCTACACAAACACATAGTTACAGGAAGTTGTTGCTTGCTGCTGGATAGTTATAACTCCTGTAGCTACTGGCTGGTTGGCTGCAGCGTAGCCACAATGCTGCTGTAGCTAAGCCGTCCGAACAAAGCCAATATAGGAGTATCTTTTATCTTTCAAAACCAGTACAAATATAGTTCCAAGATGCTTTAGACGGTGATTTTTAGCTGACGTGACATCCACGTGATGTTTGATTTGGTTTTCATTTGACATGACGTCTACGTGACGCCTACTTGACATAATAAGTAGGAAAAAAAAGTAGGACCTGCATGTCAGTTACAGTAAATATAATCATTTTTTTCATTCCTCTCTATCCTCTCTCCCTCATCCTTTTAGTCCATATGCCGTCTATATCTTTTTGTCATGGCAGCAGGAAAGATTGCCAACTATGGAGCTCGCTTGTCCCCCCCCCCCTCGTGCATCCGCCTTGGACACTACTCGTGGCGCTCCTGCTCTGTCCCTTAGATAGATCAACTTAAGACTTTTTTTTTTGAAAACTATAAAGTGAATCCAGCACATAAGTATAATTTGAGTGAATCTAAATAAGTTCCAAATAGCCAATCGCCTACTTTACAGAAACAAATAAATCTCAATTTCAGTAATAAAATGTGATGATCGAGAAAACCTAGATATCCTGCATGTATAAGAGGGATAATCTCGCGCCATACCAACCATAAAACAATCGAATAAGCTATAATCGTATAATCCAATGCTTATATTTCGGGACGGAAGGATTACAGTACAATCTCATGCTCTGTAAACTGCAATCAATCAGCCATTAAAATCTCATGCTCTGTAAACTGCATATCAAGAAATTTCAGCAACCCCGTGTTGAATTGAAGACGGGGCACCACTGCTCCTCTCGCCCTCCCCTGCTACACTTCCCGTTTCCCTGGGAGGCGGAGGAGGAGGGGAGAGACACACGCACGCCGACGCCGTCGCCCACCACCCCCTGCCGCCGCGCCGCGCGGCCATGGGGCTCCACGCGATCCTCCTCCTCCTCCTCCTCCGGATCTCCGCCTCCGCAGCCGCCTCCAGGCCGCCGCTCGACACCCTCGGCATCCCGCCGCAAGGTTCCATCTTGTTCTTTTTCTCCCCCCCCGGATCTGCCTGTATCTCTCTTTCTTGGTGCTTGATGCGGTTCTTGATTTGGTGCCTGTGGGGGCGGGGGTGGCTGGCTGCACTGCACTGCAGACGAGGCGTACTTCAGGGGCGGCGTGATCAGGTGCAGGGACGGATCGGGGAGGTTCGCCAGGGACAAGCTCAACGACGACTTCTGCGACTGCCCCGACGGCACCGACGAGCCAGGTTGCTTCCTTGCTCTCGCCTGAAAAAGATTATCCCTTTTTTTTTGCCTTAGCTTTTTGCGGAGGTGTTCTGGTTTTAGGTTCTCGTGTTTGTGCTAGTAGCTCGAATCTACTTACTGTAGGCAATCTAAGAGAGCTGTTTAATCGAATTGTGTTTACTTTTTGCCTTGGCGCAGGGACATCGGCGTGCCCGGAGGGGAAGTTCTACTGCCAGAATGCTGGGCATTCTCCCATCACGATCTTCTCGTCGCGAGTGAATGATGGTATCTGTGGTAAGAGGATTATAATCGGTGGCCATTCTCTGTATCATTCAAATGTAAACACAGTAAATGTACACAAAATCAATTGTAAGGCTAGAGATTAGGGTGCTTTTGTTCCGTAAACATAGTGCTTGAGGGAATTCCCGCTATATTTTTTTCTAATTACCCATATGTGTTTGTCGCTGCCTCTTAGATTGCTGCGACGGGAGTGATGAGTATGATAGCAATGTCACTTGCAAGAATACGTGCTGGGAGGCTGGTAAAGCGGCAAGGGATAAATTGAAGAAAAAAGTAGCTACATATAAAAGCGGAGTTGTTATTCGAAATCAGGAAATTCAAAAGGCAAAAGTGGCATTTGCTAAAGACGAGGCAGAGCTAGCGAAACTGAAGGGTGAAGAGAAAATACTACAAGGCCTTGTTGACAAGCTCACAGGTGTGCTCTTCGTGGCGGTTTGTCTTGAGTCATTTACCAAAGAATGTTATGTTGGGAAATGCTGTTGGCGCTGCTAATTTTCAATGGATAGTTTATTTTGTGTTAAACTATGACTTCTCATGTTGTGCAGAACAAAAGAAATTGATAGAGAAGGCAGAGGAAGAGGAACGCTTAAGAAAAGAAAAGGAAGAAAAGAGGATGAAGGAAGAAGCCGAAAAGCAAGCTGCTGATGAAAAGAAAGCGTCAGATGCCTCTCAGGAGGTAGATTCTCAGGAAAATCATGAAACTGTGCAAGAAGATGAGAGCAAGGTTAGCATTCTTTCTATATATCTGTTAGATTGCCATATATACCTTTGTCTGATGAACTCTTCATCCTCACCATTAATATCTTGAATCGAGTTAAGCTGGTGTTAGCATGTTGACACGTCTAATAGGGTGCAGCTATGTGTTGTATACTCATGAAATTACTATGCTTTGGGAGAGAACTACCATCCTTCCAATGGTTTCAGTGCATTTTTATCGCAAAATGATTCACATAAGAAGATAAATCAATGTTCTACAGAGTTTTGTAACAATGGTTTATCGAAAAGTACAGGATTTATGTCATAATTGTGCAGAACCTTAAGTTTCTTGGTGGCACTTAAAGCCTCAAATTGTTGGCTTCATTTTAGGTTTTGGGCTAGATGATCTGAACCATTAAACTGCCTTCTTAACAGAGATACCATATGCATACATACATACATCAAGAACGGATAGTCCCCATGTATCCTAGCAACTGGATGTTCCATCAATGCTATTTATAACCTTTTTCCCCACAATTTACCAGTAATGGTTAGTCATAAAGAACATAAAAATGATCATCACTGTGGTAACATATGATACTATGCTGTACTAATCCTCAGTTCCTCACTTATGAATTGTAGGAACTTACTGCACAACTAGGTAGCTCAATGCCATAAAGAGATATTTATATTATTTTGTTTTTGATGATGAATACAGGTAGCTGAACATCATGATGGACATGCCACGAGCCATGACAATCACACACCAGAAAGCGAGTCATCTGTTGAGCAGGTATAATTTAACTTCGTTATTATAAAATACTAACAATTCTACTGCTACATACTCCCTCCTTCCAAAAATCTGAGTCCTATTTCTTTTTGCACCAAGACCAAGAAGCAATTAATTCATTCACCATATGACAAAACCAATGAACATGCAACCAATAAGCATTAAAATGGCTTCTTGGGTTCCTCAACAATTTAATTTAGCACATAATGACTACAAATAGGAGTTAGACTTTTGGAAAAACCAAAGAATGAAATAGGTCTTAGACTTTTGGAAGGAGGGAGTATCACATTGAGGGATTTTTCCATATATATATTGGGTTTGTATGTCAGCATGATCCTGAAAGCCAAGATGACATTAGCATAAAAGCCGCACCTGCTGATGAATCACCACCAGAGGAGACATCTGCAGCACCTACTAAAGAGCAGGTGACTTAATAACTGCTTTGCATCTGAGTCATTCTTTGGGCCCTTTTGATATATGTTTTTCCCTGTTCTTTGGAGGCAATAGTAGAGATAAATTTGATTATATTAATAATAGCATATTCCTTCCAGGGATTGAACCTGTTTCAAAAAAGTATTGTGCATTTCTCTCTATTATAACTCAAAAACTGATATCCTGCATACCCTCTTTAAATATATATAACTCTATACCGTTTAGTGCCCTCCTTGTAAACATCCCTCCAATAGGCCAATCTAACAGCCCTCAAATCTAATTTGCTGTTGTGAGTTGAGCTACATGATGGAATATGAGCCACTCATATGCATATTAATGATAGTTACTGAAATCTAAATTTGTAATGTTGTTTACCTAATCTTTGGTATGTGACTGTTTTGGTGTCCCAAGAACCGGTACTTCCGTTGCAAATTTGCCATGTTATTGTGTTTGAAACATTCAAGCAAACCATGTGTGTAGTATGTTGCGCTCTGAAAATTAAGTAAATATACAAAAATATCAGTTTCATACTCGTCCTCAATGGCATCGGTAAACAAGAATGAAATTTGGATCTTAATACAATGGATTTTGAAATTGAAATTTTGCAGGTTTAGATAATTTTATGTGCACTGCATTCATGTTTGTTTTTGGAACTTTTGAAACATCAAAATGTGCTGGATCCATCGTATTTTCACTAACAGGGATATGCAGGTTCCCCTGTTTCCCTGTGCACCAAGCCATTTCCCTTCTAATAGTTCGTTTTGGAGGAAAAAACAAAGGATTTGGATTCCTAAGGATTAATTCCTATGAGTGTCATTCAGTTTATAGGATTGAAGTAGGAAAACCAAAGGAAAATTCCCTTTCGTACAAGTTGTATAGAGGAAACATATAGGAATTTTTCCATCCACTCAAACCTCTTGGAAAAATTCATATGGATTGATGTGTGCAAACATTCCTATTCCTTCACCTTTCCTATTCCTATGGATTCAAATTCCTCCAAACTGAATAAGCCTTATGAATTTATGGATTCAAATCCCTTTAAATGTTTTCAAGTCTGATTATGTCATAACAACCCATTTATGACTCTCTCTTTGGATTAGTCCAACTGATGATCTCTGCAGTGTGTAATAAACCAACATTCGTAGCTAGATGTCTAATGCCCCATAAGCCATGCCAACACCAGCACTTGCTACTTGTACAACACTTGCACATCTTTCCTGCCCTTATGTTCAATTGTACTTGGTTGAATACAGTTAAAACTTTTTCCAGGGGTTGTTACATTACAAATATCAGTACAAGCAGTAATTTTCATGGTTTTCCTAATGCACTGCAAGGGTTGAAGCAATGTGAACTTGTATTGATAAATTTTGTAGGAATCCACTCCTGCTGACTCAGAAGGTTTATCAAGAGAGGAGTTAGGTCGTCTGGTAGCTTCCAGATGGACTGGAGAAAAGGTTGATGAGGTCAGTAAAGATGATAAAAATGAGCATGAAGCTGAGCATGATATGCCAGAACATTCAGAAGAAACACATGAAGATGAATCAGATGTACCAGAATCTGCTGAAGACAGCTATGCTGGTTACCATTCAGAAGTTGAGGATGACAGACATAAATATGATGATGAAGACTTCTCACATGAATCAGATGATGAATATGTCGATGATCATGATGAGCATGTTGCGTCATACAAGTCTGATGATGATCAGAAAGGTGATGACCATTCAGGTATATGGTTCATGTAACCTGCCCACTATCTCTCTTCTTTGACTCCTTTCTGTATTTGGTTATCGATTTTTCTTTTTTCTTTTGTTCTGTCAGATTTCACTGCCTCTGGGCAAGCATCATGGCTGGATAAAATTCAGCAAACTGTACAGAATGTTTTACGAACATTCAACTTTTTCAAGACCCCTGTGGATTTATCTGGTAGGTTGTGTATTCTACCTGCTATGATCCTTCAAAAATCATGTGAGATGCTGTGTCACTTATTGATCTCCTTTTTAGAGGCTTCTCGTGTTCGGAAGGAGTATGATGATGCAAGCTCAAAGCTGTCCAAGATTCAGTCTAGGATATCCACTCTGACAGATAAGCTAAAACACGACTTTGGTAAGTCAGTTGAAAGTTTGTTTACTTGGTGATTGAATGCACAAGTCACTCGTATATTCTTGTTAGCTATATAATGGCCTTGCAAGTTTATATATGGCAGCGCTTGCCACCATTGAATTACTGCCTAAGCCATCCAGTTTTTTTTACTTTTAATATTGATGGTTCTTAGCAAAAATCACCCAGTTAGCATGATTTGACTTGTCCCAGAATGGTAACTTGTGCATTGAAAAACCTGTCTTCAAACTGGAAAATAAATACTCAAGTCGTAGGAGCATTTGCAGGAATGTGCACTTTCAAGTCACCTCTCATGCAGGCAAGGCATGTTGAGGGTGTTCTTCCTTTCTCCTATTTTTCTATCGTTACCATATCCAATTTCAGCAGTAACGCCTTTGTGGTGGACACTAGACAGCAGTGTGTTTCATTAATAGCTGTAAAGAAAAGCTTGATTATATTTTTACCATTGAGCTTCATTACTGTGGAAAAATGCATTTTTAAGAATTATATGAGTTGATAGGTATTCTAGATGTTGACTTCATCAGAGTTATGTCTAGTTCATATATTATTTGATAGGCCTATAATATTGAAATTAATTGAAGGAATACATTCTTATTAGGTAAGGAGAAGGAGTTCTATTACTTTTATGATCAGTGCTTTGAGAGCAAGGAGGGCAAGTACGTATATTAGTCATCCAACCTCACATGCGCTCTCTCTCTCTCTCTCTCGTAAATATTTCCATGGTTTACTTTATTACCATTCTATATTTTGTTAATTCCTCGTTTATTGTTATTCTTATTGATAGGTATGTTTACAAGGTATGTCCATTCAAGAAAGCTTCGCAGGTTGAAGGACATAGTACCACCAGCCTGGGGTATGTTTGTTAGCCTCCTTTCAGGTGTACTAAGTTTTCATTATTATTGCTCTGCAGATGTCTAGTTCAGTTTTTCCTAATAATGGGTTATACCACTTTGCAAAGAGTCGTAGAGTTCAGAATAACTCTCCTGCTCAGTTTTAGCTAGCAGGCCACCTAGCTTTACATACTGCAAAAGGTTGTATATGAGCTGATTGAATGCAATGTTTTGTTTTCTTGTTTGCTTTATGGCTCCAAAATTCCAACTCTGTGCATGCATCATACAAGTACAGAACCATTATGTTAAGCAATACTTTATTACTCTCAGAATAGTGATTTTGCAGTTGTTTTGTGCGATAACATAATTTTTTTCTGCTGTCAGGCGCTGGGACAAATTTGAAGAATCCTACAGAGTAATGCAATTTTCAAATGGAGACAGATGCTGGAATGGCCCTGACCGAAGTCTAAAGGTGCTTCTCCTTTTCATGCCTTCGTGCCCGTTATCTTAAGATGGATTGTCTGTTTCTGTTTGCAGGTCTTGAAACTTAATAAAATATGGCTTGCCTTATGATACAGGTTAGGCTTCGATGCGGGCTGAACAATGAACTTAATGGTGTCGATGAGCCTAGTAGATGCGAGTATGTTGATTTCTCTACATACACCTTCCACCTTTTCCTGAAAATGCACATTACTCTTTAACTTACATGCCTACTTCATGTGACAGGTATGTGGCTGTATTATCGACTCCAGCGCTTTGCGATGAACAAAAACTGAAGGTTCTTTCTCACCCTCTGGCTAATTTGTTCTGTTCTTTCTTTTTCCCAATATAGGTTGAAGCTTACGGAATTGTGCTAATGTAACAGGAATTGGAACAGAAGCTCAAGGCATCTTCGAACCAGCGTGACCATGATGAACTCTAAATTATGGGGTGAGACAATAATGAACTTGCTACAAGGAAAACAACTCTCACCATACAGCCATACTCACAAGAGAGGTTTAACAGGTTTATTATATGAATAGAATAGCATATGAAACTGGAATTCTTGGAGTTCAGCACTCGGATTGCCACCGAAGCAGCATTAGTTTGGCAAGAAAAATTTTTGAACAAAAGCTGTAGGATATCGCGAAATTCCTCACCCTGATTTGTCGGTAGATTTTCTTTTACCACTCTTCCCTGTAAACGTATTTGCTCAATTTTTCTATGCCACCCCAAAGATGCTAGACTGTTGTTTGTAACAATCTGAGTGTTTCTGAGTTATGAATAGTATATTTATGAACTACATCCTGGATATTCATCACTCTGGATGTAGCATCTGCCGGCTGCTGTTTCTGATCAAATTCAAGCCTGTTTTTTTTTTTTTACACTGCTCCAGAATGTCTAGTAGGTGGAGCTAGTTAGTTTGTGGTTATTGCACTGCGCTGTTGTATGCTTGGCTCGTTGTTGAATTATAAAATTCAACGCCGAATTTAAATTTAGATTTTTAGGTGCTTTTTGGTCGTTTTCATGGTTGCTAATAGGACAAATGGAAAAATCTTTGAAAAGTGAAACTGTGAAATTTGATAAAATCGCTTTGGATTACTCCAATTAGGGATGAATATAAGGGTTTATTTGTGGAACTTAAAATTCTTAAAAACAGCTGGTAAGAATCTGGACAAGCTAGGAAACCTAATCTCTGGCTTTTAGTTAGATTTTAGGTGAAAAATCTAAATTGTCTGACGAGCTTTTGATAGCTGGATATTCTAAAAGAAGTTGAAGCTCATTGTTTCGTAAAGAGACGGATACCAATTTGGACCAAGTGTACTAGTACTAGTTCATTTTTATGGCATTTTAACTATTTATCATTTTAGATATTTACCATATGTGTAAGCCATATGTAGGTTAGGTGTTAAATTAGTGAACGCTGATGGTTAAATATTTTGTCTTTTCTTTTTTTATATATAGTTGTTGGGAATGTTCGCCAGAACGGATGCACGATACGCGTGGCATATGTATAGAGCCCTGTTTGGAAGATTAGCTCAGGGCTAATTTTGAGAGCTAATGTTTAGTTATGAATTGGTAGGCTAAACATTAGCCTAGGGTGGTATGTTTGGATCCATGGTATAATTTAAGGCTAAAAGGTGGAGAGAGTAGAAAGAGAGGAGAGAGAAGGAGAGAGAGAGCTGCTTTTTGATGTTCCCCACACAAAATTAGCCCCATTAGCACCCCTTGGAGGGGCTAATGTTTCGAGGAGGGGCTAATTTACATTAGCTCAAAATTAGCCCACCTGTTTAAATCCTTGAGGACTAATTTGAGACTAAAAGATGAGGGTTAAACATTAGCCCATGTAACCAAACAGGACTTAAGTTGATTCGGTGGAAAGAGCATAGATTAAAGAGAGAATGCTCGAGAAGAGAATCTGAACATATGGTTTAGTTTAATAGAATAAGTACTAATTGATCTCGACCAGCAGGTGGGGCGCTATTGCTGGCTGTGGGGACATATTATTTATTATATTAACTTTAAACAGCTATACGTCTATACCACTATTAAACACGAGAGAAAACGAAATGCTCCACCGATTTTTTTTTTTAAAAAAGGGCTATTTTTATCGAACTGACAACTGAAGCACTATACATTTGCAAAAATACAAAAACGGTTGTAACATCATGGTGCCAAACTTGATATTTGTACGATGGAGATTGAAATCAAAAGAGTTCTTTTAATCATATCCGAAATGCATAAGCCATTTGCGATTTTGTTCTCCCACCGACCTTTTTTTTTTTTTTGGGTTCAAAGACGTTCAAAGTTTCCAACAAAAAAAGAGGACGAGAAATTCCCCCGTGACTCCAACTCTTCTAGAACGAGACGCATTTAATTTCTGCGTGTGTGTCGTACGACGCGCCCGGTCAATTTCTGCGTGCGACTCGGCTTCGCTCCCAAGGCGCGCGTGCACGGTTTGCAGGAGACAGCCAACGGAAACCAGCAGGGCAAACCACCAGATATGATAGATGTACTACCATTTCAGTGGATTTTCTTTCCTTTCCTTGAGAACACCATTTCTGTGGATGGGATATGTTAAATGCCCCTAATAAAGATATATATTTTATTTTGGCACTCGGTAGTGTGCTTTTTAAACTGTTAAACAGTATAATTTACGTGAAAACTTTTTATATATAAGTTATTGTAAAATATCATATAAATATAGTCTCATAAGTTTAAAATGATTAAAGTTTAACTAATTATACACAAATGGCTTTCTCATTTTACGTGCTCGAACGGACATAAAAGGTATTACTCCCTCTGTTTTAAAATATACTACTAACCTACGTGATTAGAAACATCATATCCTGGTTCATTTTAATATTTTGAAATTAATGCAAAATATATTTAAACATTCTATCAAACAAAATAACACAAAGCCAAGTTTTCTTCAACTTCAAACTTTAATTTTCTTGTTTTTGGTTTGCACGCTTTTCAAACTGTTAAATGATATTTTTTAAAAAAATTATATATATATATATATATATATATATATTGCTTTAAAAAATTTAAATAAATACTTTTTAAATTTATAATTATTAATAATTAATTAATTATATATTAATTATTTTTCTCGTTTTACATGCGCTGAAAATATCTCCAAAAGAGGAGATCGAACGGCAGCAAGTTGTATCCAAGGTTGTCAGTATCCCGATTCGTATCCCAGTATCTTACGATACTACGATCCTACCAAGCCGAAACGTACAATCCCTAGGATACTACAAAATATTATTTAAAATAACATGGTTTGAAAATAATGTAACTAAATATGCTCAAATTTATATGAAAATCAGTTAAATATATCAAAACCAACATGGTTTCTCTTGATAAATGTCTCTCTATTTGCATGACATATATCATTACTACTTTTTTTATATAGAATGGCTATATATATAATTAATATAAATGTTAATTAAACTTAAAAAAAGAAAATCTCATAGTATCCCGATACTACGATACGATATTACTTTGAGCAAAATGATACTTCCTATCTCGATCCTGAGAGACAACCTTGGTTGTATCCACCGCCCCCCAGCATCAGCATGGATGGACAACTGGGCAAATATGCCCTCCAGTCAAGAAACATCCTATTCCTGGAGATCTTTTTACCAGCCCCCACCCACACCCGGGGTGGGCCCCACCTGTCAGTCCCCCGGCCCACACCTCCCCACAGTTTTGACCGACATTGTGGAGGCCTTTCCCGTTGGACCCAACCCAACCCACCGCACCGCTGCATCCGCATCTCCCCACCCATTGGTTCCCTTTCCAATTTCACCTCGCCCAACCCTATTTATTTATTTATTTAACCCTTCCCCCATCTCGCCTCCATTCTTGGAGACCAAGAAGAAGAAAGAGGAAACCACACCCACCTCCATCTCCGCCTCCGCCGCCGCCGCCGCCGACCAAGTCGAGGGGGAGATCCAGCGAGAGCGAGGAGGAGGAGGAGGATGGCGGTGATGGAGGAGCAGCAGGAGGGAGCCGCGGGGGTGATGCGGCGGAGGCCCAAGACGAAGATCGTGTGCACGCTGGGGCCGGCGTCGAGGTCGGTGGAGATGATCGGGCGGCTGCTCCGCGCCGGGATGTGCGTCGCGCGCTTCAACTTCTCCCACGGATCCCACGAGTACCACCAGGAGACGCTCGACAACCTCCGCGCCGCCATGGAGAGCACCGGCATCCTCTGCGCCGTCATGCTCGACACCAAGGTCCCATTCGTGTCTCCAATCCCCTCCCTGCCTCCCTCCTCGATCTCTCGGTTTAATTTTTCCTCTTCTTGATCTATTGTTCTTGATCCGCAATTTAAGGTTTTCAAAAAAGAGAGAGAAGTTTCATCTATGCGCTTGGGAACATCCTTTGAAATATGTAGAGGGAGATTAGGGTAGAAAGAGATTTGGTCCATGTTCGATCCGATGATTCCGGTGCATTTTAGACGAACGATCGATCGATCTATCTATCTATCTGTTCTTGCCAACTTTTCAGGCGCGTGATTTCGTTCTTGGGGTGTTAATTTTGGCCACCTTTTATTTTCTTCAAGACTTTTGTGCGGTCGTTTTCACAGTAGGCCGTTGCTCGTCCCTGATTCTTGGGTTCTCACCCCCTGACTATTCTGCTGGTCAAAAGACAATATCAGTCATGTTTTGTTGGCTCAAAATCAGGTACGTTTGGCTGTTTGTGGATGTTGGTAGTAGTACTTTTCGTACTGTGGATGGATTGATTTGCCCGCCACCGACGCGTTAGAAGCGGCAAGAAACGCTGACGATGGATGAGCGATGCATACGAGTTTCTGAAGATCTGGGTATTCGATTTGTCCGCGTTTTTGGCTTGTAGTAGATTGGATAGTTAGTTGGATTGCGTCATTCCGCGTGCGGATTCTGTGGATTGGATGGAACATTAACGTTGAATTAGCTCCTGAACTGGTACGAATTGGTGCTCGCTTAGCGTGTTGTTTGTCCATTTCCTCCCACTGTTGGCTGTGGTCCTCTGTTCTTCTCGTCTTTCTTCATTTGGCTGGTCCATTGTTAGTGAAGTTTATTTTTGTTTTGATCTGTATTTTCACCTGGTGCTAAGAGCAGGTAAAATAGTAGGCTATAAGCTAGCTATAAACACATATTGAGAAGATAAAATAGGAGAGAGAGGAGCACCGGGCTACAGATATGTAGCCAGCTCCAAGACACAATGTGTGTATGATAGGTGGGACCATGTATTAATATTGTAGTATATGTTTATAGGTAACTATTATATGAATTGGCTATTAAATTGGTTATAGATGGTTTAGAGCCAGTAGTTGGCTATACTATTAAACTTGCTCTAAGTGGCCAGTTTTTCAATTAGCGGAGTTTAGCGCTCTGGATTAATTTGGACTGTATGTTATAACTCTGGAAAATGGTCGTAAAGGGAGAATTAGTTATGTTGTTTTGAGGACTTCCAATCTTTAGCTTAGACGATGATAAGATTTGTGTGGTACATGACCAATTTTCTGAAAGACTTTGTTCAGGATTTCTCAATGGCATTAAACCTGTACGTTATTTTCCATATTATTCATATATTCCCGAACACGCAGTTGCGGGCCAGTACACGCTTCCCAACTTTTCCAGAGTTGGTTCAGTTTATTTAGGAGATGCAAATTAAGTGATTTGATCCCTGCTAATCTGCTGGGAAAGGAACTGCTTCTTATGGGCTTGCTGTCGTTATTATGTATAAATATTTCTGTTATTATGCTATATCAAGTTAGGTTTATCTTCAAGGCCATATTTGGAAAAGTTGGTCTTCTCTCAGTAGCTGATGAAAAATGACTTCAGCATCTTTGTAGTATCAGACTATCAGAGGCTTGAGGTCTCTTAGAATCTAGAAGCTTAAAAGGTTAACCCTACTCCATGGAGAGTTTCTGATTTTATGTATTGTACGTATGTTTGGAAATTCGAAATGATGGCCTCCTTTTATTAACTCAGGGAGTGCCAAACCTAGCAAGTGTCTTGTGCTTAGGAATAGAGATGTGATATTGTACACTATCTATATCACATAGCACGTGATGTGATCCACGCACCTCCAGCTCCTCACCCATCCGACCCACACCATTTTTCACTGATATAGATGATCATGAGCTTGGCATTTGAGATTGGTAGAAGTAGCTTATTGTTTAAATTAGAAGCATCAGAACTGATTCTGCATTACCTTGGGTGACCAACTGAAGAACAACCTCATATGCTGTCTTCCATCCACCACCAAACAAGCTTGTCCCATGGACCTGCACTGACAACGATAATCGTATTTGTTCTTGGATTCGAGGAACTCTTGTAGGTTGTAGCTGTCCAGAACTCCAGATCTGCATGATAACATATTTTTCCCTTGTTCTTGTCTAGTTGAATTTGTAGTTCTTATTTCTGTCCAGAGTTTGAGATGGGACAAGTTTCCTTTCAGTTTTATCTGTATATATACCAATAATAAGAGATTCTGTCCACCCTAGTGAACAATAGGGTGGAGACTAGTGCTTGTAAAATAGACAGGATGTCAATTGTCAAATCATCTTACATTTTTTCTTCATAGATACTTGTAGGGAAAATTTTCTTTTCATCCTGGTTTCTACGCAGCGTTAATATTTGCGATGGAAATGCATGTTGCATTTGAGACAGTCGCTCTCACAATGAAAAAAGAAAAGCCGTGTTAATTGCGTTTAGTGAACAGCATTTATTTTGTGGATATTGGGTTATTTCATTTGAGCATCTTCTCTTCTGTCAGTATACTGTCAATTATGCTGCATAGTATAGCCCTTAAGAAATTCTTATTCCTTCCTGTAACTACCCTCAGGAATTCCATTTATTTTGACTATGACTACTGGCTTGATTTGTGCTCCCATTCTTTTTGCAGCAGCGGTTTCCTGTCTTCCTGTTATATGGGTATTAGTCTAAAAAGAATGTAAAGTAAAAATACAATGCTAATGGTATAATCTTCAGTTGATCGACTCTGAAGAGTATGAACTATTAGTTGAAGTTAAAACATGAGTCTGAATTTATGGGATGCATTATTAGGGCATATTTCAATATTTTGGTTGTTTTGCCATTATCTGCCTTTGCTTTGGTTTTTTTTTCTTTAAGATGTAGTGTTCTTCTATGAATACGTACATTTGGTTATGTGGACTTGTACTTGAGGGGTTAAGATGTTGTAACAACGTTAGTTGGTGTTTACAAATAAATACCTTGAACACGCTGTGCTTTGTGCAGATACTACAAGTACACGCAAAATGTTTTTGTTTCTATCTGCATGAATCGTAGCATCCCCTGCCTTTAATATATATAATTTCACGAGGGTAACAGCAATTATTTATTTCTCCATGAGTCCTGTGACTAATGAAATTATGAAACAACATTCAATCTCCTGAATTCCTTTTCTAGAGAAGTATTGTTGAAATTGCTTGTTTAATGTATAACTATTGTTGTATAAAAATGTGTACTTATCAGATATTGGATTTGCTTAAAATACAGGGGCCAGAGATCCGAACTGGATTTCTGAAAGATGGAAAACCCGTACAGTTGAAGAAGGGTCAAGAAATCACAGTTTCAACTGATTATAGCATAAAGGGTGATGACAACATGATATCAATGAGCTACAAGAAGCTAGCGGTGGATCTGAAGCCAGGCAGTGTAATATTATGTGCTGATGGCACCATCACTCTTACTGTCCTTCACTGTGATAAAGAGCAAGGCTTGGTTCGCTGCCGTTGTGAGAACACTGCTATGCTTGGTGAGAGGAAGAATGTTAACCTTCCAGGAGTTATTGTTGATCTCCCGACACTTACTGAGAAGGACAAGGAGGATATTCTTAAATGGGGTGTCCCAAACAAGATTGACATGATTGCTCTGTCTTTTGTTCGTAAAGGCTCAGACCTTGTAGAGGTCAGGAAGGTGCTTGGGAAGCATGCAAAGTCAATAATGCTGATGTCAAAGGTATAACATTCTCTTTTGAGTATTGCACTTCTAAGCTGCACTTTGCAAAGATTTTAATCTATTGAATTTTCAGGTTGAGAATCAAGAGGGAGTGGCTAACTTTGATGATATCCTGGCACAATCTGATGCTTTTATGGTTGCAAGGGGTGATTTGGGAATGGAAATTCCGATAGAGAAGATCTTTTATGCACAGAAGGTGATGATTTTCAAGTGCAATATTCAGGGCAAGCCAGTTGTGACTGCAACCCAGATGTTGGAATCTATGATCAAGTCTCCCCGCCCTACTAGAGCAGAAGCGACTGATGTTGCCAATGCAGTTCTTGATGGCACTGACTGTGTCATGCTCAGTGGTGAGACAGCTGCTGGGGCTTACCCGGAACTGGCTGTACGGACCATGGCCAAGATCTGCCTGCAAGCGGAGTCATGCGTCGACCATGCCGCTGTTTTCAAGTCCATTACCGCATCAGCTCCAATTCCCATGAGCCCATTGGAGAGCCTTGCATCATCAGCTGTGCGTACAGCGAACTCTGCCAAGGCGGCGCTCATCTTGGTCCTGACTAGGGGAGGAACAACTGCTAGGCTGGTGGCCAAGTACAGGCCATCCATGCCGATTCTGTCCGTCGTGGTTCCTGAGCTGAAACAGACCGACTCCTTCGACTGGACCTGCAGCGACGAAGCTCCTGCGCGGCACAGCCTCATCGTCAGGGGAGTGATCCCGATGCTGAGTGCAGCCACTGCCAAGGCCTTCGACAACGAAGCCACTGAAGAAGCTCTCGGGTTCGCCATCAGCAACGCCAAGGCGATGGGGCTCTGCAACTCCGGTGAGTCCGTCGTCGCCCTCCACCGGATCGGAACTGCATCTGTCATCAAGCTCCTGACAGCGAACTAGTGGCAGACGGCAGTTAATCCACACCATTTTGCTCGGAGGAAAATTTTTGCTGGGGGATTCTTACTTACCACGCATATCTATAGCTTTTGTTGCCATGATAGTGGCATTTGCATTCAGGTGCACCTTCGGTGTTTGCTGTTCATGGGTTAACCATTGAAACAGTTAAATTCGTTATTGCTACCGCAGCTTATTTCGCTGCCTCTGCTGCTACTAGTATTAAACTTGACAGCCGTTACGTAATTTGTTAGTTCTATTCTGTTCTGTTTTCTTGGCTGAAATGCATTTCTTGAATTCGTTTCGTTATGATGAATATGGTTCGGGGTTCTGCGTAACTGGTTACTGCTAGGGATATGAAATGGAGTTGATAGTTTCCGTCCACTACTTGTAGGGATATAAAATGGAGTGGATAGTTTCATCCGTTCGGAGTAGAAACTGCTCCAAATGGATTGAACAATGTTATTTGGATATCTGTTGAAGGCGTGAAACATCTCATTTTTTACATGTTGGACTTAATTAGGCATTGTTTATAATTTATGATCAAACTTTTTTATATAAAACAAGCTTATTTTGTGTTTATGTGATGGTATTTGTTTCTATTAGAAGTTTAGGTGGTTTTCATGTTTTGAGAAATTTTTGTTTTGATATTTGTGTACGATAAAAACGAATATGGTATAAACATTATCCATCTGTATTCATCCTGTTTTTATCCTCAGCTCCATTTTTATCCCTAGCTACTGCAATCAGAATGAATTGGGGAGTTAAAAATCTCCAAAGAAAAGTGGGGCAACTGGGAAGCTACTGCTCCCCGCCAAAAAAAAAAACTGGGAAGCTACTGCAATCAGAATGAACTGGGGAGTTAAAGATCTCCAAAGAAAAGTGAGGCAACTGGGAAGTTGAATGCATGCCTCATAGGATGAATTGCGTTCTTGACAAACTGAACCAGTATATGGAGTTGAATACTTAGGCCCTCTTTCTTTCAGTTTAGGATTATTATAATTTAGATTATTGAGTTAGATTACTATAAGCTATATTGTTATAATCTGTAGTAGAATAAGCGGTTAGTTGTTTTTTTCTAGATTATTAGAGCCTAGATTATTGGGTTTGCAAGTCTAAAGAGGGAGTGAGGTGGCATGGTGGGTATTTTTTCACCCAATAATCTAAAAAAAGCTCACCTAAATGAGCTTATCGGATTATAATAAGCTGTGCTCTAGATTATAATAAGCTACTTCAATAAGTCTACTTCAATAAGTTGTCTATTTCTTTCAGCTTACTCCTAATTATCTGGATTATAATAATCTCAATCTGAAAGAAACGTAGCCTTATGCTAGCAAGTTGCTTTTAGATTACTTTAGCTGCTACCACTGATTTGTCTTTTTTTTTGTCTGCCATCCTCTGTATATGGATGTAGTCCTGAAAAAAAAAATCCAATTCCGAGGATGAATTTGGATATCTTTAGAATTGAATTTTTATCGGAACAGAATGAGTTTGTTGAAGTTAGTAACATTTTCATATTTCTAACTGAATTACTACAGTATAGCATTGCACAGCATCAAATGAGCATTTCAAACAACATTCTTACTCGTAAGCTGAAACTTGTACTCCCTCCGTCTTATTTTAAGTGTAGCCATCCGTCCTATTTTAAGTGTAGCTATGGTTTTCCGCGTCTGACCTTAACCGTCCATCTTATTTAAAAAAATTTTAAAAAAAATTGAAAACATAAAATACTATTCATGTTTTATCATCTCATAACAACAAAAATATTAATTATAAAAAAATTTCAAATAAGACGGACGATCAAAATTTAGCGTGGAAATTTATAGTTGCACTTAGGGCAGTAGCAGTGCGTCGTCAAAATTTGAGGAGCCTCGCATGCCACCTGTGCAGGAGAACGCCCAAGAACAATACTCCACAGTGCAGATTTTTTTAAGTGGGGCCACCAATCTTTATTCCCTTTTACTTTTCATCTACCCTCTCTCTATCCTCTAGTCTTCGTTCCCACCAAAGAAAGTCACTGAACCATGAACTCCTCCCCACCGACGGAATCAGCAAGGCGGCGACCGGAGCGACGGCTGGGCGGCCCAAGCAGCGAGCTCGTCCTCGCGCGGAGCCGAGCGAAGCGCTGGAGCGGCGCCGCGTCGACGAGCCCCAGCCGGCACAGATCGAGGGGCAGCGCGGCTGGCGAGCCCTGGCCGGCACAGATCGGGGGGGCGGTGCGGCCGGAGCCGCCGCTCCTTTCTCCCGGTCGGCCCCGCCCTCCCCTCCTCGCTCCTCTCTCCCTCTCTCCTTTGGCACGTGTGGGTCCCGCCGGCTGTGCTCCGCGTTCTCGAGGATTCCACGCGAATTGCCGATGTGGCACCGAATATTCGGTTCTTGGGTGCGAGGCTGAACACCACCTCGGTGCGTTGTAAACACCCTTAAAATAGAATGGAGGGAGTACTCCAAATAAAAAAGGCAAATCTCATAATACGATGTGACATATGGATATATGATGCATCACATCTTTAACACGAGGTTGGTTTGTTTTTTTTTTTTTGAACGGTACTAGTATTTGTGTTCAGGACACCGGTGCAACCTTGAACTTGATTAGCATCATGCAGAGTTCATATACACGCCACTAATATACTCCATTTTCCGCCGAACGCAAATTGTATATTAAAATCATGGGATATATCACAAGATGATTGCTAAAGAAAGGGGAGACGAGGAAAAATGAAGTTCCATTGGCACCAAAGCCAGTCACCACAGCGACGACGAACCCCGGATTATGTACATTGTCAAAGTTGCAAAACCATGAGCTCCTCCGCCGGTCGCCGGAGCAGCAGCACCGCCGGTGACCGGCGACCATCCTGAGTCGTCATCACTCGTCGCTGTGCTGCTGCGCGTGCGAGCTGCTGCCGGAAGTCGACGCCGGCGACGGCTGGGAGAGGATGCTCCTGAGCTCCTGCATCACGGCCGGCAACCTGCCCAGGCCTCCCCCGTCGACCCGCGGCGCCGGCTGGGACAACCGCCGGCCGCCGCCGGAGTGGGCGGCGCCGCCGCGTGCGGACTTGGAGGAGTCGTCGTCGTCGTCGGTGGGGAGCTGGAAGCGGCAGACGGGGCAGGAGCTGTGCATCTTGAGCCACGGCACGATGCACTTGGCGTGGAACCTGTGCCGGCACGGCATTTCCGTGGCGCGCTCGCCGGCGGCGTAGTCCTCGAGGCAGACGGCGCAGGCGGAGTCGCAGTCGCCCCCGGCGGCCACCTCCACCGTCGGCATGGACTCCACGGCCTCCTTCTTGGCCGGGAGCGTGCCCTGCCGCCCCGCGTCGCCGTCGCCCACCCGCTGCATCAGGGCGTCCAGGCCGGGGCCGAGGAAGTAGTCGGCCAGCGCCACGCCCTCCGCGTCTCTCGAGGTCCCGACGACGGCGCCGGCCTCGGCCGCGGCGGCGGAGATCGTGGCGGTGGCGGACTCGAGGCGCTGGAGCTGGCGCTCCCGAAACTCCTGCATGAGCAGCAGCAGCGCGGCGGTGCGCCGCCGGCTCTCGGAGAAGTCGAGGAGGGCCAGGTCGCGGTAGTAGCCGTCGTCCGCGCCGGCGGCGTCCGCGAGGCGACGGCTGCGGCGGTGGCGGCGGACGGCGTCGCCGCCGCCGCCGCCAACCATGCCGTCGATGATGGGGGCCCAGACGGAGGAGATCGCGCCGCCGCCGCCGGTGGCGACGCCGCGCGCGGACTCGATCTCCTCGACGAAGCCGCTGTGGCAGTACGGGCACTTGATCTCCACCTCCCCCTCCGCCGCCGCCACGGCGCTCACCGTCGAAGCGCACATGTGGCAGTAGTACAGCCCGCCTGCCGCCGCCTCCTCCGCCATTGCTCCCGATCTCCTCGCCGCCGCCGCCGCCGCCGCCGTCAATGCAGCAGCTTGGATTCCTCTCTTGGGCTGCGACGAAGGATTCAACAAACCGAGAGATCAAAACCCAATGCACGATTTCTTTTTCCTTTTCCTTTCCATCATCGAAAGGCACTCAGATCCCCAAATCAAGAACAAAGTTCCATCAACAAGAAACAAGAACCACTCAGATCCAACCAGGAACAAAAAAAAAACAAGAACGGCAACCACAAATTAACACCAAGAACAGAAGATTCTAACAACATGTTCAACAAGGCCGCAAACGAAATTAGGATACGATCAAGAAACCAACCGAGCAACCACAAATCTTTGCACCAAACAGAACAACTGCAACCCTAAATTCCTCTGAACACGCTCTTGACAGAACCGATCGAAGGAGAAAGAACACAAAATCAGAGGAAATCATCAACCAAATCAGTCAATCAATCAAAAAAAAAAAGAGATGGTCACCTTGGGCAGGGCAAGTGAGAGGGGGAGGAGATCAGGGCCAGAGAGGGAGGGGCTCTCCACCAGCCTCCTCTTTATTATTACAGTGATGACCTCCTAATCCAACACATTTTTTAGGCAGTTATTAAAGAGGGCTTTTGCCTGCTTAATTATTGCCTAGGATGCTCTGTCATCCTAATTTTAAACTCCCCAACAATTTCTTGTTGATTTTTCTCTATGCTCTTTTCTCCCGTGAAAAAAGTTTCAGTGGTGGTGCCATTTCGCTTTCATCCAACCCAGAAATAGATCATGAAAAGGAACATAAAAGCGACGAAAAGAAATATGCTTTTTTTTCTAAAAGATTATTTCCCATTTATTCTCTAATAGATTTAATCATGTGCTGATGACATTATTATGATTCCTTAAAAAAAGCAATGCGCGCGCTCCGAGCCGGTTCACCTTTTTAATTGAAGTACAGCGATATTTACCAAATTTCGATCAAACGTATTATGAATTCTTAAAAACCATTAAAATTTTCACTTCCAATTTGCTTTCGTCCCGCTTTGAACCTAAAATTTTTTCACTGTTTTCGATCGGTTTTCGTCAAAAGCATACTACCACTAGTTGTTGCATTAATGTACTATAAATAAGACACATATTTTATCTCGACTTTTGGTTAAAAAAAGGCATATATAACTTACTTTAAAATATAAATAAATCTATTTTCGGTTTATTTTAATTAAAACTTAATTAATCATACGCTAATAGTTCCATCTACGTACCCAACCTTAATAACGGGCCTAAAGCAGGCTAACGTGGGCCGTATTACGGGCCGGTTTAGGCTGGGCCTGAGTTGGTCCAGATATAGTGGGCCGGAATATCGCGAGGTGACGCTGACGCGTCCATCGCGCACGACATCGCCCCCGTCACCCTCTCTGCGCTGCTGCTGCTGCTTCCGATGGCGGCGCCTCCGCTTCCCCGCGCCCCCGTCTCCTCCTCCGCCGCCGCCGCGTCGCCGGGGGGCCGCGCTCTCCTCCTCCTCCGCGTCGGCGGAGGAGGTTCCGGAAGATGCGCTGGCGTGGCGGCGGCGGCGGCACCGGGTTGGCGGCGGCCGTTCCCGGCTGCCTCCGTCGCGGCGCGCTCGGCTGGTACCACGCCGGGAGAGGTCGCCGTCGATCCTAAGGTTGGTCTCTGCACCACTATCCCTATCGGTTCTCGGCGAGAGGTTGCCGGAAGCGTTTCAGGGTGGATGTGCCTCTCCTTTGGTGCTCTAAAGACAGACGAGAATGACAACCGCCACATGTTCGTCGGAATTCCTAGATGAGGGTTCACCTCTGTAGTGCTGTGTAGCGTGAGGCTTTTATTGTTGTTCATGTAGAGATAGAAGAGTATGCTGGATTTCTTGTGCCGCAGAGTTGGGGATTTCTTGCTTTGAGCTAAGCTTATTTTGTTGCTGCAAATCTTTGCAGATGGTAGTACATCACGCTAGTTATTGATAGAACGATGCTGTTAGTATAAGACCCGTGGGCAAGCTGATTAGAGGCACAATGGCAGTTCATTTTTGGAGTGATGCGTAGCTACGTTGATTTATGCACTAACAAGTATTCAGCCACTGAAGGGCATGCAATTCATCATCCTGGGCCCGTTTATCAACTTGTAGATATGAAACATCGAATGGCCCTGTCATGTCACCTACTGTCCTACCCATTCTATCAGAATCTCAATTAACTGTTTTTTAGCAGGGATTATTCTAAAATGCACAATTATCAGATGACTACTTCAGTACCTTCTATGTGTTAAATATACTTTTGTATTTTGGGGGAATATGATGACGTGTTTCTTAGTTTGCAGTGCATGTTTGTTCTGTATTTTAATATTAATACACCCTAGTTTCTTAACTATGTTCTTATACATATCTTGGTTGCTCTTGATGGGAGGCATTTACTTTAGTAAAGCAAATATTTGCCATGGTCTCATGAATTTAAACTAGCTTCTAAATGAATTGACATAGATGCAGTGTTTTCCATTCCGTGACTGTTTGATGACTATTGGGTATTTTAGCAGATTTGCCTTCCATAGACTTTCGCTGAACTATAACTTTCACAGTGCTATGGAGCTAGTTTGTTCTAGGTTCTAGAGGAACTAAGACAGAATATGAGACTGCCAGTTTTTGCATGGATCTGAAGAAACATTTTTCACAAATAAACTTTCTTAAGATGCAATACAATTTTAATCATCATGTACTGTATGTGACTGGTTTGCTTAGTTATATCATATCTTACCTAAATTTTATTTTCATTCTGGACGAATTTTAGGTCGAAGCAATACTAGACAGTGTGAAGTGGGACAGTAAAGGCTTGGCTGTTGCTATTGCCCAAAATGTGGATACTGGAGCCATTCTCATGCAGGGTTTTGCCAACAAAGAAGCCCTTGCAACAACTATATCAACCAGGAAAGCTACATTCTATAGCCGTTCACGGTCTTCATTGTGGACAAAAGGGGAGACATCAATGAATTTCATCAATGTGCATGACATTTTCTTGGACTGTGACCGTGATTCTGTAAGCCTTGCTTGTCACGATGCTTACTTTTGCTTCAGTGGATACTAACTGCTAATTGGGTTGTTTGTTTTTTTTTCCTGAAACATAGATAATATACCTTGGGAAGCCAGATGGGCCTACTTGCCATACAGGGGCAGAGACTTGTTACTATACTTCAGTCTATGATGCTCTACAAGGTTCGAAGGTATCTGTTCTTGGGTTGCCCTTTCTGTAAATGAACCTTTACATATAATTTAACTATGAGACTCCTTCACAGCCCAATCAAGATAGGCAGGTTGTCTCAACTCTGTACTCACTTGAAGATACAATTAGTAGACGGAAGGAAGAGATAGTTACTGAAGGAAGTGGCAAGCCATCATGGACAAAAAAACTAATACTTGATAACCGGCTGCTTTGCTCAAAAATAAGGTATGTGATGTTATATTTCAAAATTCGTCTATAAAACTAATGGTCCAAACATTAAATAAATAAGCATATTATGCATGGCTCAGGACAAAACATTGCATTATTCCCTGTCATTAATTCTCATATTCTAGTTCAGTCATCACTATTGGGTATGCCGATTGGTTAGTTAATTGATGTGCTGTTATGTATGCTTGTTCAATATCCAAGACAGTTCACAGTTATTCTTTATCCATGGTTTTTGTTAAACATTATGAGCTTGCAGGACATTATGTGATACTATTAATATTGTGTACTCCCTCTGGTCTTAACCTCGTTTTTAGCTTCTTGTCTTTTGAGATAAAACCATGTCAGTTTCTGTGATATACTTTCAAGTTATCAACATAAAACATACTGGAAGTAGTTTCTATGGTGAACATAGTACACATGTGATCTTTACTTGGTCACAGATGTTGAAGAAGACACTGTTAGTTCTGGAGCAAAAGTTTTGATACCATGCGCTACAGTGACAAATTGACAAGCATTTTTATGGTGGTCTACTAGAAGAATCTACCTTTTTACAATAGCACAACATGAAAATAGAACCATTCAAAATGTTATTGCAATGAAATCCTGTTTAGGGAAGGTGTCATTCTACATCATATCGAACGGGAAATAATTTTAGGACACAACTTGCTGGGTTAGATTTCTTCCTTTTCTGCCCTTGGTGAGGTCTTGCATATTCTTCTGGTCCCTTGTATATTCTCCCTATTCACCTGTCAAGAAAAAAAAAAACATAATCTTGCAAACAACTGAAGTTGATAAAATTATTACTGGTTGCAACATTTTTTCTCGGACTTTTTCATCAGCATTTGGAAATGGTCAAATGGGAGCCTAATACACTTAACTTGTTCTTAGGGTATGACTGTTGGATATAAAATTAGATCCTAATACCTCAGTTTTGAACTTTTGATATAGCCTTAGGCTTGAACACCATTCAGGGGATACCATTTTAAGATTTCGTTAATATGGATCAACAAAGGTTTAAAAGGCATCTTGGGGGTGGGCTCGACGGAACCGTATCCTCTAACATTACACACTAATGTCACCGTGTGACATTCCTTTGATCCACACCATCCATTCTAAATCAAAGGTCATAGATTTTTTGGCATGCAATTAATCAAACTAATTAGTAGATTATGTAGTTAAACAAATTCAGGCAAATTCAGGCAAGTAACAAGCACATGTCGATAATTAGGTTTAACTTAGAGCAGGTACAATAGCAGGCTATAAGCCAGCTGCAAACATATTTCAAGAAGATAAATGAGGAGAGAGAAGGGTAGTGGGCTACAGATTTGTAGCCAGCTATATCACGGATTCCAAGATGCAGTGTGTGTATGACAGGCGGGACCAAATATTAATAGTGTAGTATGTAACTATTGTATAAATGAGTTATTAGATTGGCTATAGATGAATTGGAGCTAGTAGTTGGCTATACTATTAAACTTGCTCTTACCTGTTAGACGCAATGATTAGCATATGAACCTGTTAAGGAATAAATCTCGTGCATCAATTTTCTTTGTGTTGCCACATCTTCCATCAGAAAAAGACAATTCTCATAATCTACAAGTTGGTGGGCTCATGTTACTGAACATGAAGGGACTACTTTAGTGCTAAAAAAATTTCCTACTCATTAAGTATGGTAATGTTTAACTACATAATCTGCTAATTAATTTGATTACTTGTATGCCAATTAATCTATAGCCATTGATTTAGTTTGGATGGTCTGGATTCAAGAATGTCACACCGTGACATTAGTGTGTAATGTCAGAGGATACGGTTCCGGGCTCGACTAGATAATAAAATTCATCATCGTCAACCTGTTTGAAGTATTCAGCATTTGATCAAGGTAAAGGAATCCTCTTAATCATCATATAGCAAAAGAACATACTCTTATAGCCATTAATGCGTCTCATGCACCATATGTTGTTAATCATTTGGCCTCTCTTTCAGAGTTTATCTGTTAGCATGTACAATATGATGATCGATGTGCGTTGTGAAAGCAATTGACATACATATTGTGTTCCTTGTATTATATTGCCGTCGTTCTTTCGCCTTTTCCCTATCCCTCTCTCAATGTGAATGCCCATATATTTGACATACATACTGATTTGGTTTTTCATATTTTCCAGCGAAGAAGCTGGAGAGCTAAACCAAACACTGCTTGAGAACGAGGACGAGAGCCGCACAATCAGTGAGATGGGTGATTTGCTATACCACGCGATGGTGCTGCTTAGGGTCAAGGGCGTGAGGATGGAACAGGTCTTGGAGGTCCTCAGGAAGCGATTCTCGCAGTCTGGTATTGAGGAGAAGGCCAGTCGCAACAAATCTTAGGATATTACTCACAGAGTGGATGGGTTTACCAGTTTGCTTATGTCGTATCGGCATTGGTGCCAAGTGTGTACCATTGAGTAGTTTGGTCTTCTTAATTAGACCGAAGGTTGTGAATTGTGATTATGCTTTAATTGTTCTCCAATAAGACACTGAGCAAATACATGTCTGGAATTTGCAGTGCTGTTCTTGCTGTCGCCAATAAAATAATAAAATCAGCTCATAAGTAAAGCATCTTCCTGATTTGATGATCTTTTTTTAGCTATGTTGTGAAACCGCTGCTCTTATTTCAACGCCGTGCAAAGTTCAATCTCAACAGGAATCTGGGGAAAATGCTACACATACAAGTCGTTAGTATACTACACTTTTATTAACTGTATTAGTTAAGCAGGGTTCACAAATTTGTTCGAATTTTGTCATCCGAAATCTGAAGCTCTCCTAAGCAGATCGGTTTGCGCTGAATTTCATTTGAAATTCAACGAATTTGTTACATCGCCTCTGAGATGTTCACAGCCAAGTAGTAGCAAATTAAAGGAAAAGGACAAAAATAAAAAACAGCGTGCAAACAAATTCCCTGCAATAGATTAAAAAAAAAATCGAGCAGTCAGTTCCATAAGAAAGAAAATGCCCGTAAATTTGAGAAATTTCGCGCGAATTTACACAAACGCGTGAGCCGCCCGAAAATACCCCGAGAACTCTGACCCCGGTCGGACTCCCGACTCCGAGACGAGACAGAGAAATCCCCAAATCCCCACGTCTCCTCCTCCTCCGCCGCCGCCGCCGCATGGATCCCGCCGCCGGCTCGCCGGATCCGGCGCCGGCGCCGGGGGCGACCACCTCCACGGCGGCGACCGTCCTCGACGGCCTCGGCGCGGAGGTGCTCGCGGTGATGTCGCCGGTCTCCATCTGCATGGCGCTGGTCGTGCTCCTCATCTCCCTCCTCGCGCCGCCCTCCGCTCCGGGGTCCGCCGCGGCCGCCGCGCAGCCGCCGCCGCCGGTCACCGCCGCGACGCTCGTCTACCTCGAGAGCCCCACCGACACCCCGGGGCAGAAGCTCGTCGGCGCGCTCCTCGACGCCGCCGTCTTCGTCGCCCTCGTCGCCGTCGTCACCTTCGTCCTCGTCGCGCTCTACTACTACCGCTGCACGGGCTTCCTCAAGAACTACATGCGCTTCTCCGCCTTCTTCGTCCTCTTCTCCATGGGCGGCGCCATCGCCGCCGCCGTCCTCCGCCGCCTCGGCGCCCCGCTCGACGCCGCCACCGCGCTCGTGCTCCTCTTCAACGCCTCCGCCGTCGGCGTCCTCTCCGTCTTCGCCTCCGCGGTCCCCATCGTCGTGCGCCAGGGCTACATGGTCGCCCTCGCCGTCATCGTCGCCGCCTGGCTCTCCAGGCTGCCCGAGTGGACCACCTGGGTCATGCTCATCGCGCTCGCCCTGTATGACCTCGTCGCCGTGCTCGCGCCGCGGGGTCCTCTCAGGATGCTTGTGGAGCTCGCCTCATCCAGGGACGATGAGCTCCCTGCGCTCGTCTACGAGTCGAGACCGACGGTTGGGCCGGCCTCCGGTTCTTCCTCCTACGCTTCAGCCATGGGATCAGTTGAGATGCAGCCGGTGGCCGATCCCGGTCGATCGGGTGGAAATCAGTATGACAGAGTAGAGCAGGAGGATGATTCGAGCCGCGCCGTGGTGGAAATGAGGGATGTTGGTGGTAGCCGATCAAGCATTCGTGAGAGGAACCTCGAAAGGGAGGCGCCGATGGCGGTATCGGTATCAGGGCATTCATCGAATCAGGGTGGGAGTTCACAGCATGCTGTGATTCAGATTGAGCAGCACGAGGAAGGAGAGACAGTGCCATTGGTATCAGCGGCATCTGCCAACAATGCAGCCCCTAATGAGGAGCACAGAGAAAACTCTTCTTCAGACTCTGGTATGGAGTTCGAGATGTTCGAGTCCACCAGGGGCATCAAGCTGGGACTTGGTGATTTTATCTTCTACAGCGTGCTTGTGGGGAGGGCTGCGATGTATGATCTGATGACGGTGTATGCGTGCTACCTTGCCATCATTGCTGGGCTTGGCTGCACCCTTATCTTGCTGTCAATATGCAAGCATGCATTGCCTGCACTCCCGATCTCCATCTTGCTGGGTGTCACATTCTACTTCTTGACTCGGTTGCTGATGGAGCCGTTCGTCGTTGGCTCTTCAACCAACTTGGTGATGTTCTGATTAATCTGCTATTGCCATTTTACATATGTGAAACAAGAAAGAGGAAATGATTGGCATTTTTTTTCAGTGACTGGTATTTTTGTTGGTCACTTCGTAGAGCAGTCATATGTATTTATCATTAGGAAATGTTGTTACAAGTTCAAGACCTTAGGCTCTTAAGGTAGTCTCAGGGATCGACTAGTTACATGCCTTGTTGTATGGTTCTATCAACATGACATGACATTTGAGAAGAAAGATTTTCGTTTCATGTTCTCTTGATTACTCTTTGACTGATATTTTGGGTTGCTCTCACTAAGATCAGAGGTCAAGTAATCACTTATTCATCATACTTTTTACCAACCTGAAGTCAAATTAATATTCTTATTCCTCCCATAAGCTTAATTTAGTGAATTGGAGCTAAACTTAAGATCAGAACTTTCTATTATTCTTAGTACTCTTCAGTATTGCAGATACACTAAATGGAAACTATTGGATTTGGCACTGTTCAGGACTAATTGAATTTGCCATCCTTTAGTAGATGTTGCTCTAGGATTTGCCACTTCGCCATTCTTTAGTTGTTCTTTTAGTACACCCAATTTGTGATTTTTGAAGCAAAAATAATCAGAAACCTGATGTTTCATGTGTATTTGATTTCAGAACCCAACATATTTCTGTGCAGGTGAGCCTAAGCATTTTGACAACTTCATACTTCAGTGCTTAGCCTTTGGCAAGTTTGACTTGTGGAAAATGCATTTTTTAAGCTTCTCTAATCTCTAACAGAATTAATCAGTACATGTACAGAACGGCTGAGAAGATTCATCATTCATTAATGAAAATCCTGAGTTGTATGAGCATATTTTGATACTTTCAGGGGAAGGTATGGCAGTGGCATTTTTACATCTTGGAGCTTATATCTTCACAAACTAGAAACTTTTGGAGCTCATGAGGAAATAGTGAAGCTAAAGAGAAGTTCAGAAATGAGATCTGCCGATTGTTTCTTGATAGCAGTTTTAGTGTTGCATACGGTTCCTTTCCTTGCATTGTAGTATGTGTTTGCCTGCACACCGTTTTGTCAAAACTGAATTACACCTCTGCTGCTGGGAGGTTTGTGTTTGTTCGCAAGAGGATAATAATAGTACTCCTACATCGTAGCAAAACTGCTTCGTGCTTTTGGTTAGTCTTTTTTTCTTCAACGGATATGTTGATACGTGACATTGTGGTACATAATCGTGGAGATGATGTTTCTTTCACTGTTGACAAAATTAACGCAGGTCCTGTCACCGATGAATGGGTAAATAAATTGCTTGGCCGCCGATCAGGTGTAAGTAACATCGATCAAATTTCAGGATGTTTTTGTGTAGCTGAATTGAGGCCTTGTGTAGGCTGTGTGCAGATGTGCCTTGAATCTTGATGCACCTCTCCAATTCTTTGCAGTGTTGCATTTGCACAGTCCCTCTTTTCAAACTCGATTGGCTGATTGATTCTGACATCTTGTGTGCTGTATAACATTTACATGGCTATCATGAACTATGGTGGACTTCCTAGCATGCATAACGAAGAAATGAATGTGAGTGGTTTTCCGATAATTGTTACTACTTCCGTCCAAAAAAAAATAGTGGTCGATTTCGATTTTTCTTGTAAACGTTTTACCATTCGTCTTATTTAAAAAATTAGAAATTTAATAATATAGTAAGTCACAAACAAAATAAATAATAATTCTATAATATTTTTTATAATTTTTTAAATAAGACGAATGATAAAAATTAAAAACAAAAGACAAGTATTTTCGTACTTCATATGTTATTTTTCATCTGTTATTCATATGTTTTGGGTTTTAGGCTTTAAATAGATTCGTCATATGTTTTTGAGTTTTAAATAGATTCATGTTTTGGGTTTTAAATAGTTTCGTGCATTGTGAATTAGACGAGAGATTAATTAAGATACTAGACCGTCCGTAAGGAGGGAGAGTGAGGGGATAGCAAACTGTTCTCTGCTTTGGACAAGTGATTAGGGGATATTTTATTACTTTTAACTGCCGCATTACATATTTACATTACAGATTATACTGAGATTAGTACAAAACGCGACGAGCAAAAACACCGTGGCGTGGCGCCGCGCGGTCGGCTCCGGCGATCTCAGCGGCGGCGCCCACCATCTCCGGCCGCCATGCCGGTGCCCTCCTCCCCCATCTTGCCCACGTCGTTGAACGCCTGCCCCGTCATCTGGTCCGCCGCCTTCACCCGCATCATCACCTCCTCCGCCGCCGCCTCCCCGCCGGTGTTCGTCGCCGTCGCCGTCGCGGCGGCTGTTCCCTTGTTCCCGCCGGCGGCAGCCTCGGCGCGCTTCTGCTCCACCACGTCCTCCGGCATCGTCATCTTCTGCCTGAACGCCTCCGCCGCGCTCGCCGCCGACCCGTAGATGTTCTCCGTCGCCGACCTCCCCCTGCGCACGAGCACGACACGTCCCGGACTCCGGTCAGGTGAGCCGAGTAGGAAGAAGCTTTCAAGAACAGAGAGAAATGGCGGCGAGCCGAGGCGACGGCTACTTCTCCTCCGACGACGGCTGAGGCTCGCTCCGCCGCCGCGCCTCCTCGGCCTTCTCCGCGGCGCGCCGCCGCACGTCCTCCCCGTGCTGCCACGCGGACTCGTCCGTCTCGCCCTTCCTCGCCGCCGCGGATCCCGCGAGCGCGCGCCGCGCGCCCTCCGCCTTGTCCGCCGCGAAGCCCTTCGCCTCGGCGGCCTTCCCCTCCCCGGCGGCTGCGCCTGCGCCAGCGCCGCCGCTGCCGGGCCCGGGGATCTTGTCGCGGACGGCGCCGAGGAGGGACCGCGCGCTCTCCTGCACGGTGCCCAGCATGCCGCCTCCGCCGCCGCCAGGCTCGTCCCGCCTGGCGGCGTGGAGCTCGTCGGCCGCCCTGTGCGCCGCCGCCTCCGCGCGCTCCTCGCGGCTCTTCTGCATGGACGCCATTGATCAGATGATCTTGGTCTGCGTCAAAGCTAATCAAATCCTCTGGGTTGGAAATCGATTCGAGCTTGCTTCGCTCTCTGCTTCTTGGAGGATGAAGAGGAGGAGGGGGGTGGGGGATAAAAAGGAGGGCGGCGAGAGGATCGGAGGAATCCTCTGGAGATGGATGAGGCGGCGGCGCGGGCGGCCGCCGAGATGCGCCGCGGGCGTCGCGCTGCACGCCGCGTGTGACGCCGGCGGACACGTACCATGCATACGTGTGCTGCGGGGGCGCATGGAGTGTGTTCGCTTCTTCCTCAAAGCGGGGGAGGGGGTTAATGGGATCATTGCCATTGCAAATTGAAAAAATCATCTGTTTTAAAAAATATCTTTACAATTTATATAATTTGATCCATATACGCGTTTTGAATTTTTCTTTCCTACTGTATTTTTATGTCTCCTTTTAACCCTAACCTCAAATCCAACGACCATAGCCAAATCGATCACCTAATCTTGCCAACGTGGGGAGCGCCAATCAGCAGCGACGACGCCGGCGGCAAGTGACGACTAGCTAAATACAAAGCTTGCTCTCGACACAAGCATATGCAGTGGCGGCGCACGGTAACGATGAAGTTTCGATCTAGGTTGCGCAAAGTCGGTTCTGGCGACGGCGAGCTCAACATGAGCAGACCTAGCACTGGTGGAGGCAGTAAGGTCTAGGACGACACGTTCGACAGCTACGATACGCAGTCTAGGCGCCGATGAGCACCAAGCTAATGGTGCTGGTGCTGGCAATGAGTGCCAGCTAGCCGACTTGAGCGGTCGTGGACGGCGACCCCTCCATGCCGACGAGCGATGCCAATGGTCGTGAACGGCGACCTGGCTCCTCCACCACCCAATTATTTTTCTCTTTTTTTCCTATGTAGTTTTTTATATGATATTCATTCAATTATTTTGTACACGAATTATGAATGGTGAAGTGGTAGCAGTTTGTTGTGGTAGCGATGTCAAATGTTAGATTGAAAATTTTGATTAGAACTAAAGCATCCAATTGTGGAGTTGGCAGGAGGAAGGATAGTGTTGTTGTTCTTTGAGTTGTAAGAGACGATTTTATTTTAGTCCATAAAAAATAAAAAATAGAGTAGTCACAAAACGATTCATAATGTGTTTTAGACGTATAATGTGGAATTTTGATGTTTTGCAGCACATGATTTTAATTATGTGATAGTAGTGGTATTTTTCAAAATTGATAAATTTATAATGGCATTGATATAATTAACCAAACTGTAAATATATTCCTTAGCATTTTGAATTTTTTTTTCGCAATGCGCTGGCATTATCTTCGGAAACACGCCAAATATGTTATATTTAAGGAACATCCGTCAGCTACCCATTCTCGACCTTGATTTTTATTCCTGGTTTTGAAATAAGTATTTATATAGTGTAAAAAACAAACTAGTAGCAGCAAGCTAAGAAATTTAGCTTTTTCAGATTGTGACTAATTGGCAACTCCCTATCCTTCTAGCATCTTAAACACCCTACAAAATGTTTCTCGTCTTGAGGATAAAAAATGCACGTTTCTAAGATAAACCAATGTGTGAGCTAGTTCCTCCTTTCTATCACAAAATTTCAATGTTTGGGTAAGATCAATCAAAATTTTAAAACTTTGATGAATGATACATTTTAGTTAAAATAATAAAAATATTATTAGTATATTTGTCTTAAAGAAACTTTCATAATCAATTAAGATTTATTAGACTTTATAAATCTAGTCTGATATAAAGTAACAAACACGTGCTATCAAAACAAAATGTGAAATGTCATCCTCCCTTCCTTCGGTGATTTGGTCATAAGTACATAACATTCAAAATATAATTTGATCAAACTACAATTGATATTTTTCCAAGTGAAGAAAAAAGATTTTGAGTGCTATTATTATGTTATGTCCCGGTGGGGCTCCTCTCACGTACGTCAAAGGGACGTGTCTCTCTGACTTATGGGCCCATAGGTGTGGGCCTCACTTATCAGGGACTCTCGACCCTCTGACTTATCAGGCCCCATTTATCTCTTTTGACCACATGTATCATGTTCCCATTGATGAGTATGTTCCAATTAGCAACCTTTGAGAGGAACGCCATCTATACATAGATCAATAGTCACCGAATTTAAATGTTGAAAGCTCTTTGATACATATTTAAGAATATTTTTATGTAAAAACATGTCGAAACAAACTTGTAAGGATAAAAATGCGGTAAACATTGGTTAACGTTTTACTCTTCTTGCCATTTGCAATATAAAAAAATATGAACAAAACTGAGTGAAAAAAGTTAGGATAAAATAAGATAGGAATAGTATATCGGTAGGATTAAAAGTTATCTCTTATTAGGTGGTTTTTTTTCCATTTAGCATGAAAATGACCATAAAAGTTATGAATAATTAATATATGCACGGTCGTCACTCTTTAACACTTGGGATGGACATGCCCTGATCAATGACACTAAATTACCGTATGTAGACCCATACCTATTGCTTCATCAAGTGAATATTGTTGCCAGAGGGAGTCCCGACTTGACCATCTTGCTTAGTTCAGAAGGCAAGCCATCGAAACTGTGTGGATTATGGGCCAACACCTCCATAGCTTAAACCAAAATCAAGGTCTTTCGAGAAGGTCCACGTGTCCATCATCTGTCTAAAGACATGCCAAGAAAAGCTAGACATTCGAGACTCTGGTTGGGTCAACTAACCTAAGTTGAATTCGTTCCCAGAGCTGCTCGAAAACAATCACGTATCCTTTTGCGTTGGAGCATGAGGCATGCTGGCTAGCCACCTAGGAACCAAGTCATGCTAGGGGTACATGACTTTGGGTTGCCTGAGGACTACTAGGTGTATCTTGGCTAGTGAGATCAAGTGGAGTAGGCAGGTCACCCCTTCTCGCGGTCCACCATATAATTGCACCCGAGGGTGAACCCTGCACTCCATGTGTCATATTGCAATCAACCTTGGCACCTCGTCAAGGGTAGAGTGGCATTCTCGCGTGCTGATGACATGTTGATGTGTGTTCAATAGGGCACTATGCCACCCTTGGGAGCATGCACAAGCTATAGAGCTCGTCCATTGTATTTTTTTTAAGATAATGGAATGAACATTCCGGCCTTTGCTCATCAAAGCTACAGCCAATTATTACAATGTATCACTCAAACGAAGAGTGTAGTTCATAATGAAATTAAACACACCCAACAAAATAAAAGACCAAACCAAGATACAAAGAGATACAAAGTATCCAAGATTCAATCACTCTCAGGTCATCAGGCGTGGCTTTTAAGACGCGTAAAATATCGAGGAGACTGTAAGTGGGCCTAGCATGGATTCCAACAGGAGGTCGACTACTATAGTAGATCTAATGGAGAGTCGAAGGAGGTAGCTCAAGCTTATGAGTGTGCACAATGTTTTGTATCTCGTCAGAGAGAAAGAGATGACTATTAATTGTAGGTTATAAATGCCCATCTTAAACCCTGTAGGAGGGTTAAACACTAGAAATTGGCAAGAGCATCTGGCTTGCTAAGCTAGCTCGAGAGCCTCCCAAAACTTATACGAACTTCTTCGATAGTGACCAGGAGAGGAGTATTATTCGAGAGGCTAAACCTGTATACGTGATCATGTTCTCTCTTACTCCCTAGCACAATCGAACATGCCGTTTGCATTCGGAGCCCCTGGTAGATCCCCGAATATATGATTCCTCACATCTACCGTGTTTGACACCGACAACTATCGTTTTATCGTGTGACTACTACTTGCCACCTTAACTCTCGTTCAACTAACTTTTGCATCTACTGAATTCTCTTGCGTTACCGTTCCATTAGTTATGATATAATACCCTTGAAAAACCATATTATTATTAATATAGCTAGGTTATTTTGCGTTTACAAAGATTTTATCCCTAAATTCTGGCCAACAAAAAATCGGCAGCGTATACTTGAAGCCCAAGAAGGAATCAAGCCCCTCCCAAATACAACGCACGAATCCCGATGCAAATCCAACGGGTGTGAGGCGCCTACCAGCACCGAGCCCGTCAACCCCCCCAACTCCAGAAAACCCTCCTAAAACCCACACCACGACACGCATCCGACCTACCCCCTCTCTCGCTCCGCCGCCGCCGCCGCCTCCCCCCAAATCGCAAGCGCGCCGCCACCGCCATGGGCGCGGTCGTCAGCCACGCCTCCGCCGCGGCCCCGCCTCCCCCACCCACGGGCTACGCGCCCTTCGTGGACCCCGCGGCCGCGGCGGCGCCGCCACCGGCGGAGAAGGACGCGGCGGCCGACGAGGAGAAGGTGGACTACATGAACCTCCCCTGCCCCGTCCCCTACGAGGAGATCCAGCGCGAGGCCTTCAGTAAGCCTCCGCCCCCCGCCCCCGCCTCCCTTTGCATCCCCCCCTTGATCTGGTGGTGGTTGTTGATTCGGTGGTGACGCCGTGTGATCCTCTCTCGCTGCAGTGTCGCTGAAGCCCGATGTCTTCGAGGGATTGCGCTTCGATTTCACCAAGATGCTCAACCCGTTCTTCGGATTGAGCCACAGGTTCGACTTCCGGTTCCCCCCATCATCTAGTCTCGTTTTTTTCCCTTTGTAAATTATTACTAGCGGTTTTGGCTGTATCGTGACAATCCTTGTGCGCCTCAGTGTGTCCATGGGATCCATGGAGCTCCCATCGCAGGGGGCGGATGTGATCAAGGTCCCCACCTCCAACTACGAGTTCGGCGCAAACTTTATGGATCCCAAGGTTTGCAATGCTTTTCTTCTGTGAAGGGGTTCATGCTTGGTGTTCTAATATGGTTGGTTTCAGTGTTGATCCGAGTGTGGTTCATTTGCCAGATGATGCTCATTGGGAGGGTTTCGCACGACGGGAGGGTGACCGCGCGCGTTAAGTGCGATCTATTGGAAAATCTTTGCCTCAAGATAAATGCTCAGGTTTTTTGTTTGGAACCATATGAGCCAAACTGTGTTCAATATGAGATTAGCGCTAATTAACACCATCCTTTTGTACTTACTAATTAGCTTACCTTGTATGTATCCTGGCAGTTGACGAACGAGCCCCATTACTCCCAAGGCATGTTTAGCTTTGATTATAAGGTCA